GCATCTTTAAGAGCTATGTTCAAAGATCCAGAGAACCCCAAGTTTTATTGAAATTTGATGATCTCGTGGTGGAAACTTCGCAAAAATTTTTACAAAACCGGAAAAGAAAAACCACGTAAAGTCCCCGACTTCGCATATGTTATAGTCGCTAAAAAATTAAAGATAATGCAATGTTGGTATACCTACTTTTACGGGGTTCCTATACTGATATTTTGAAGTATACATTGTTTGTAATTCGGATGCCAAATCGAAAATATTCAATGATACCAAACCATACGTGAAGTTGGCGGCAGAATTAACGCAAAACGAGCACGTATTGGTTACTTCAATTTGTTGAATTTTTTATACTATTTAATTTAAATCATAATAAAGGGGTTTATTTTGAAAATACCTTAGATACGCACATTTAATTGCTTCCTGACAAAATGCCCAGAATAAGCGTATGTTCTGCCTCGCACGAATTTTGATTACAATTTTAAGTAAGTAAATATTAATAAACGCGGTCGATTAAAACGGAGATGAACATCCAGTCTGGTAGTTTTACTGTGGCAGATTATGCAAACGGTTAGATAATAAAAGCCGCAAAGCTATTTTGTTTATATGAGAGCAGTTAGTAAACGAACTCAAAAGCATTTATGGACGATCGTTATTAAATGTAAGGATGTGTTTTTGTTCAACAATTATATAATAACTTTGATCCATTACTCGAAGTAACATCAGGGCATACCTACCTATCGGTTACCATTGGATTTAAATTCAACGCTTTTACTTTAGGGGAAGGTGACGCCAAATTCGCATCCACGTACAAATCGTGTTAAAAAATGATCTTTTTGCGGGAAGTTGTTTATCGCACCAAGAGCTTTAAAAAATGCCTCGTTGCAAATTTTTGCAAGAATGCTCGAATATTTGGGTTTGGCATTAAGAATATCAAAATGAAATAGGTTGGAAAATTTTTAAAATAATTCAGATGGCGAAATTTTTAACAGAAAACCAGTTTACCATCTAGTCTATTATGCAGAATTAACTAATTCGTCAACAATTAAAAGAGTAGAGTAACATTTCAATGTGCTACATCACATGAAGTTATCCAAAAGATGACGCCGTCACTGGTATCACAAGAGAGCGACAGGTTCCATCAATCAAAGTTTGACAAAAACAAAAATAATAAAATATCTTCCAAATCCGTGTTTAAATCGGCCAGTGAGTTCCAAACCCTTCATCCCGATCATGAATAAACGAGAAAGAACAAGGCCTGGTTTGGACCTGAAAGAACGGATAGAAAAATACTATTCATCAGTGTGGTACCAATAGCACTTCTTGCTAGAATAGAACTATGCTTTTACCCTTTGCCAAATCAAAAGTTTTACACTATTTGGAAAGTATTGATAACTAGTTGTAAGGTAAACTCCGAACTGGACTTTACGACTACTTATAATATAATCATAGTATAACATTTAGAAAATGCCCTTTGGTGCCTTTATTTTCAACCCGACGCAAAAAGTATATGAGAATTTTTTGGAGAGCTCATCAAGATATATCTTTTTTTGTATTTAACATTGTCCATTATGGTGCTTACTTTTCGAGAAAAGTGCAACTTTAATTCAAAATTTCTCACACACAACTGTAATGGATTTTTTGAAGATTTTTTTATGTCACATTATCCAGTGTTTTCAACTTCACCCTCACCCTCAAAAACTCTGAAGATGGTAGCGGATCAAAACCAAAATAGAACAATTCCCCGTGCAAACCTGTATACACCTCAAATTTCATCAGATTCTGGCGCGTTTGAGTTATCGTGTTCACAAAAAACGAACCACATAAATATATCTGATTTGAATAAATTTGTTGATTTAGTAACAATTTCTACAGTACTGACTGTGGTAGATGATTCGCGAGGAAGCTATGACTGAAACAATTGCATGTTGCAATGTAAATTTCCCTATGACCCATTTTAAATAACTCAATCCCTTTACATTGTCGTATGGCTCATCTTAAAAAAACACCCTGTATGTACATACTTTGTATATAGTCTGCAAGTAAGAAAGCTGAAACGACCAGCAACTCAGACCATGATGAGAATAAGTCAGTTTCAAACAAAACTATATACAAAACTCCCTAAAAATATGCGAAAAAAAGGATAACTACAAAAAATTTTGATATCAACGATAATCAACAAGATACGAGGAATAACGTACAATTTTCAGTAAGGGAATAATGTTTTGATCCTCAGTTCGCATTCGGAATCGCGATTTTTAATCCGGAAAATCGGTCGGTGCAGGTTTGATATCGCTGTCTCTTTCCGTTTTCAAGTTAGACCAGAAACAGACGACGGACAAACGAACACACAAAACCAACGCATAAGGGGAATGTCCGTCAAAAAAATTCCGCTAAAAACGTATCCCTGGAAAGTCTACTGTCACCCAAAAACAAAAAATTGAGCTTATCTCACATATTTATAAGCGAGTTGTGGTGGCATGGTGTATTATGATCCCCTTCCCTATTTCCGCACGTACCACTACTACTGCAGTAAGTGCATGCAACTTCCTTAATTGTGCTGCAATTTGATTAAAATTTTATGTTAGGTTCCTGTAATAAAAGCAAACAAGCCCCACTCATCTGAAGCCAAGCTAAACTTTTGAAAATGGGGGGAGGGGGTTCCCTTCATGGTATTGTAATGAAAGGTCTCATCAAAATAAATTGGTTTGTGCAAACCATAACTGTGCTGCGAGACTCATTTTCGAGATCAGTGGGTGACGGGGCCTGAAGGGGGGAGGTTAGAAATTAATTTTATCTTTCATGGTATTCTAATTAAAGGTCTCAACGAAAGGAACCATTTTCTATACCAACTACTGCTGACTTTCTCACCCCTTATCAAAAGAGGGGGAGAGGTGGGTCAGTACGTGGAACTGGTTTTATCCTTCATGGTACTTTAATGAAAGGTCTCAACGAAAGGAATTAATTTCTACTAACCATAGTCCTCCTCCTCGACTCCTTATAGTGATCGGATTATCCCTTATATCTCCAGAACGGATTGTCGGAAGAGGGTACTCACAAAGGACGATTGAGACGCCTGAAAGAAATATATCCATTGGTGATTTGAAAACTTTAAGAGTGAATATCTCGAAAGCGGTTTGTCGGAGGAAAGTATTCTCACAGGCAAAATGAGGATAGGGACGAGACATATCTATTGGTGAAGTCTAAGCTTATATTTCTGTGATTTGTATGTATTCCTGACGGTCTTTAAATGTTTATGTGTATAGAACCTCCTCCCCTTATAACCCAACCATTTCCTAAGCTATTTTGGATTTAAAAAAATGCGCGTTATCTGCACAAGAGTTGTGCACAATTTGTACTTGTTTTCTTTTGATTGCTTCTTTCCTTCCTTTTCGATTTTTTTCCGTAAAGGTTTTGTTTTGCAACTGGACAATGCATAACTACAAAACTACATCGTAATTCAACGAACTGAAATGTTTATTTATTATTTGCTCTATACGTACTCTGCTACCGCGTCTCTTTCTATAAAATACAAACAAAATGTATAAGACCACTACAACTTGTTTGCGTTTTGTCCGCCCGTCCGTCCGGACCCACTTCTGCTGTTTTGAACTACGTTTAGGCTCTGATTATATTCAAAGGTTTAGGGGAATTGTCGTAGAGTTCTGAATTTTTTTTGCAATAGATAGTGTATAGGTTGAAGGTGTGCCATGTGGCCTTCACATTTTGTTGTCTTAAGTGAGGCTTCCCCTAGAATTATTTCCCACGATGCTGCCTCTGAAAGTAAAACGGGCATAACTTTAACATGCGCCAACCAATTTGTCTCAAATTATCCATACGCATAGCTCTCTCTAACAGATCACTTTTAACACAATTTTCACGCGAAAACACAATTGCCCTGGACTATACAGTATCATTGAATAAAAAATTTTATTCAATGACAGTATACAGTGCGTTCGAGAAAAGAGAGTCACTTGAATATCTCTTTTATTTGGCGAGATACGAAAAATTTGTCCAAATATAATGCTATATGTGACATTAGGATCTATCTGATCGCATATTCAAAGTACCGATATCGCTCCGGTTTATCCGGAAATCAATGCAACTTTTGTTTTTCAAGTGCAATGCCTATGTTTTTCACGATATTTAAAAGAGCAATCAATTTTCTGTATGACATAAAATATGCATATGGTTGATATACAAAAGAAAATGGAGAAATTCCCTGATTCAATATTTAGAAAAATTATTAAATCTAGTATGCCGTGTGCCATATCATACAGAAAAGACCTACAATAAGTTGTTCAATGTTTCGTTTTTTAAGATTTACTTTTGCACAATACGATCTCCCCGTGTAATACAGGCATCGTGCACCCTGACAGCACACGGCATACATTTTCCAAATATTGGATACGAATTTCACCCTGGCTCATCAACATTCCTACCGAGCATACCACCCAATTCAAAAATGTTTAGAAGGGGTTGCTACCCATTAGGTATCTCGGGATTTGTTGGAACTACGCAGCTACTTTTGATCGCATAGTAGGAAATTTCATCCTCTTCATAAATGATATAGACTGATTTTTCGTGTAATCGATAATTCTCAAGATATTTACGAAAACTTGAAAAAAATCTGAAAAAGTCGAGATTTTTCGACAACCACTCAAATAGCGCAGGTCTTTGGAAGTTGAAAACTTGGTTTTGCACTACCCTCAACTCATACATCTTAACATAACAAAAAATCAGATTTGCTTCATTTTTCCAATGTTGCATGTCTTGTTTGACTGGCCTATGGAGAAATCTGTACTACTGTTGCCCAGCGTCTCACGCAAGAAGATTCTGGTAACAGTTCTCTCCCCCAATTGACGATGTCGCGTGTCACTTTCGATATCTAGAGACAATATGAATACTTAATGAAGTAAAGGTAATACCTATGTAAATAGGCTATTTGATAATTAATCTATTAGGGACATTATGTTCTTTATACTCACAATTGCGAATTGTTGCAGGTTATTTCTGAATACTGTAAAAAACGGCAACAAAATCGACCATTTTCACATATCGTTATGGATTTACATCAGGAAGCAATGGCCGATTTGGAAATGGCACTTGAATCCTCATGGGGTCTTCCTATAATGCCAGAGATTCGATCCAGAAAAAGGTAATTACATATAGCTTAATCTCAATTAATATTATTGCTGTGTAGAACCATCACGGAGACGTCGACGACCACATTTAATTTGCCTAAGCCTTGGTCGGCGATAGGTAGACCAAATAACACCAAACCGAAACTAACGAAAGAAGCAAGCACTAGTATGGAATACCTTTCGACAGATACCAAAAACTGGTTAACGCCCGGTACGCGGATTCGTCCAAAATCGATGTGTGTACCTTTGGGAATTAATCATAATTCAAATTACGGCATTGAGAATCCGTACTTAAAACTTCTGGACGAGGAGAGATTAAATTACGTGTTTCCCCCATACGAAGATGTTCACAATAAAGCTCCAAGCTACTACTTTGAACATAGCAGTGCAAAACCAGCGTTGACTAGAAGAAATTGTTCTAACCAGAAGCAGAGTAAAGTTAGACGAAATCCTGTACAACGCGCCGCGTCAAGACTATACCACGCAAGTGATGTTCCTAAAGATCCAGTAACGGGTGCACGAGACTGTGTTGGGCCAGAATTTGTAGTTAGGGCAACATTACCGAGCAAAAAACACGTATTGCCCGACTGTAAGGGAAACGTTCGAAAGAATGTAACTGTCATTTTACTAAACGGTCAAAAGCTTGATATCAGTTGTAATCCCAACACTACCACAGCCGGCCAGTTATTTGAGGTGAGTAAATAGTCAACTTTTTCTTAGGTTTTAGACGAAGTGGTTTTCAGTTAATTATACAGAAGGAACATATCGAAGAGAATTTTATGTTGGGACTCTCCGCGCTGATCGCCGGAGATTTTGTTTTTCTACCCTCTGATGCACGAATTTGCAAAGCAATGGGTCTGGGTAATGCACAGATAGCGTTAACTCTGTTTGTCAGGGTGCGTTTCTTTCTGCCAAGCTTGAGAGCAATTCGAAGTCATCAAGCGCGACATATGCTGTACTTGCAGCTTAGGCGTTGTATTCTCGAATACCAGTTACCTTGCACTTACGCGCAGCTGATGGATTTTGGAGGTTTAGCGCTACAAGCCGAATTTGGAGATTACACAAAAAAAGTAGCGATTCCGTTTGTTGTTCGAATGTTTTGCAATTTTGTTTCAGGAACATGGTGCCAAAGATTACTTTCTTCTGGAACATTACGTGCCTGAAACAGTCTCTTGTAATTCGGATGAGTACAAATGTTTGAAAGAGGACCTTACACTTGCTCATATGACTAGAAGAGGTTTAAGTACAGATAGAGCCGAAGAAAACTTTATGATTCTTGCGCAGACGTTTCCGCATTATGGGGGCCACTTTTATACTGCTGTTTGGGTAAGCTTTTAATCAAAAATTTTGTTAATTTTTTTAATATTTACATCTCGCTCAAATTTCATCGTACAGTCAGTCAAGTGAAGTGCACTATTGTGGTACAACTCGCCTGCAATAGAGGGTGCGAACAGAAACTTATGATTGCGGGGGTTACGTATTTCAAACACGGAGGTCGCAAATCCTCTTATTTTACTCGCGGTGCAGTAACCTAATACGAAAGTTTTTTATACATTCATTCGCGACAACGGAAAAAATATCTCGGCGCTTTAAACCGACGCATCCTTGGTCTAAACTCGGACATTTTTCTTCTCAATGGTCTGCAATTTGACCATCGAAATCCTGCTGACTCTTCCTGATCAAGAGACTGACCTAATGCTGAGCTAGCAATTGTAACCCAGTACTAATTCAGAAGACGAAATATGATATACATTCCAGACATCTCGCCTCGAGAGGTTCTCGAAACCCATTAAAAAACAATATTCCATAGAAATTAAACGCACCACATTTTCACCGCGGTTGACAAATTTATTTTTTGAATTTCCACCAAATCATTTATTTGGAAAACCAATTCAACCCGCTAAATTGTGATATTCTGTGAGTTTCTATGATTTGTAATTCCCAAACCATTTAAACCCCTCATGTTTACAAAAATCAACATTACCCAAATCTCTCAAAATCGAAAAAAATTCAACCTATCGTTACACCGTTAGGAAAAAGGTCTCTAAGTGATTTGAAGGGCCTTTAAGAGTCGGCTAACAATTCCTAAGGGCTGGCAAGATTCTGTGAAGATCTGATAAAGGCTTTTAAAGTCCTTAAAAATAAAGATTTGAACAAATAATAAAATTTAAAAAACATTGAGGGACTCAAAGGCTCTCAGTTTCTTAAAAGTTTTAAAGACTTGAAAAGCCTTTAGGAGATCCTCACAGAATCTTAGAAGCTTGTAGTGGTGGGAGGTTTCAGCCATAAACCCAACCCACTATACATAGAGCCTTTGGAGATGCTTAATAGTGTTTAAAATTGCTTAACACTCCTTATAGACAGTATTTATAAAAGCATAGTCTTTAAAGGACTTTAAGTGTTGTAAACAGCTTTAAAGGGTCTCCAAGAGTTCCAGAAGCTGTTCGAGTTCTTAAGGTTTTCTTATTTCTTTAAGAGCCAAACTTGGAGGTATTTGAGAGCTTGTAAAAGACTTGAATGATCTTGAAGAACCTTGAAGAGCCTTTATGCATATTAAGGAGTATTTTCTTTGAGTCTCTATAAGCCTCCCAAGGTTTTCAAAAATATTTAAGAGACCCCAAGGGTTTTCTTCGACTTTGAGAACCTTTCACTTTTTAAATTACATTTATGGACCTTTAAAAAGGTCTTCACTGACTTTCAATACTCGGTAACGGTTTCTAAGGACTTCCAAAAGTTTCCAAGATTTTGTAAAAATCTCCCAAAGGCTTTTAGAAGTATGTAAAAAAAGAAACTTTGAGAGCTTTTAAAAGTTGTCATTCAGTTACAGAGATTTGGATAATTAGTTATTAGATAATTTGAAGAGTAGGGGTGTTTTCTGTTTAGCTAATACGGATTTCCCCTCGCGGCTTTTAGATGACGTAACCGCACTCGACCCCTAACAGAAATCTCCAATCCGTCGCACTAAAAGCACCTTTATGTGTGTGTTTGCCCCATTAATTCGTTGATACATCTGGTATCATAAATAGGTATTTAAAAATTAAATGCTCATACTTTCGCCACCATTTCCTTCTTCCGCTTTCATTCTACCTCCCTTTTCCTTCCTCCTCTCTTCCCAAATCTTCGATTTTTTGGCATTTAATTCCATTTCTTCACTCGAGAACATTCTAGAATACTCGGGAGCGTTCGAGGACTTTCGAAAAAGAGGGTTGTTTGCTATATAAGCAAATCGAATTGCGTTTTAGTTCAGTTCCAATTTCAACGCCGAAGTAATAAATAGTTCACACTGTTATAAATTGTTGCGGGGTGGGGGCAGGGGGGCGCGATCTTGGCACCCGGCGATACATTCGAATTGCTGTCCCGTGTCCGGTTCGATAACGTCGCAGTCTTTAAACGCCAATTCTTATTTTTCGCTAGGGAAAATCCGTTGCAGCGCCCAATTTTTACTCCTTTATATTTGTACACATTTCCAAAGATAACTTTGTGGAGGATATAGTAATTTACATTGCATGTTTAATGCTTTGCCTTAATGATTAATTGAAGGTAATTATACAGAGTTCTTATTATTATTCATATGTGTGGTATAAATTCATTTTTACCATTTACAGTATAAAACTATTACCCCGTCTAGCACCCCTTGAACTAAAAGCACCCAAGTAAATTAAAAAGGGGGTCATGGGGCACGAAATAAACCCTCTCGATTATGTATTTTTTATTTTTCTGTTTTGTTATTCTGACTCCTTAACTAACGAAAACGATTTCCCTTCATTTTTAATACTATTAAGATGAAATTATTATTATCTCAAAAATATTTTAGGTACTCAAAGATAATAGACAGAAGGATGTTTGGCTCTACATAAGCGCGCAAGGTATCAATTTGTATGAGAGAAACAGCACCAGCCATCAGTGGAACCTTGTCCTTTTGGAAATGTTTGAGTGGAGAATGATCCAAACACTGTGCTACAGTAAGCACTATCTTTGCGTTCTACCTCACACTACTAAAGCCCACAATCTGAAGCTAAAAAAATACAAACTTAAAATGGACCACAAAAAGTAAGCATAATTTCCTCGTTTATCATTAACAATACAGTTCAACTTTCAGGAGTTACTTCACGTTTCGGCTTGCTTCATTACATCATCAGTTTTTTCTCCGACTTCGAACACAATACGCGTCTCTACAAACGTTATCGGAACAGTTTGGAGTACAATTAAAGGACATGAAAAACGAAACAAACTCCCTTTGTAAATTAGAAGCGCTCACGAACCCATTTTACGTACTAGATTCAGCAGCGGTGAATGCCGAAACCGAGTTCAAAATAGAATTTTGCGCGTCTCCACGTGCCAGCTTGAAACGCAATTCCGACTTGCGCTTTAAACGATCGAAGAGTATCGGCGACTTTGGAGGCGCCCATGACGACTGTCTCATGATCGAGGAGTATCAAAATAAAGAAAATGAAAATCCCGATCACGGTAGAGGTGAGAATAACAGAAGTTGCGGCGGATTGATTTTGGACAGCAGCTGCTTGTCCGGTTTGCCGAACTCGAGCGTGTGGGACAAGCGGCGGGGTGTCAAAATGGGGGTGAGCGCTTTTCAAAGTAACGGACAGAGAGTGTCAAGATCAATGGAAGCTGTAAATGCGTTGCTTAACGAAGAACTGGAACAACTATCGCTGCAGTCTACTTCGTTGCATTGTAGCTCCACTTCAGTGTCAAGATCTCCAGTTGTTGAGTACAGAGAAGTGCAGGATGCGTATATTTTAGGTAGGTTTGCTTTAAAAATACTTGTATGCCCCCCCCCCCACACACTCAGGATGATCTTCTATATTACAAAAACCCAAGCAAGTTCACTTATCATCTTTAATCTTGTTACAGATTCATCAATCAAATCAACAGGAAATCAATTCTTACCCGATTTTCAAGAATCTTTAAGCGCCTCGCTCCTAGAAAAATTGAACAACATTTCCTTTGCCGAAGAGTGCACCTTATACTCTGTAACCATCGATAGAGACGAAAAAGGAAGTTTGGGTCTACAAATTATGGAGGGTTCCGATGGTAAAGTGTATATACAGTCCGTATTGACGGGGGGACCAGCGCACTTGCAGGGTAACATCCGCGTCGGTGATCAGATAGTTGCGGTGAATGGACGCAATCTCTTAAGTGTAAAGTACAGTGACGCGCTCGAGTTGTTGAAAGTGAGTGGGAAAAAGGTAGAATTTGTGCTGTCGCATATCTCGGTGAATAAGAACAATATTTACAACCAAGCAACGTTGCCGATGTCAGATTTGAAAAGCAAAAATGACACGGGCTTATCCAGTAAAAAGTTTAGTAGCAGGTTGAAACGAATGTCGTACCCAAATAATATTACGGGCTATTTACAATTGGGCGAATCGTTAAATTTGCGATGTAGCCCCATTGAAAAGCATGTGACCGAAAGCTGTCATGATATTACAAATCCAAACAAGTCCAAAGCCGATGTGCCATATCATAAACATATTCGGTACGGTTTAGAACCGAATTTTCACCACAATGACAGTCCCTTACCAAATCTAAACAGAAATGTTTCGAAATCGTGCACGCACATTGGCGAAAATAACCCCGCTAATAATAAGGCAGTTATTGTTGATATGATACCCAAAGTCAAATCGTATAAGTGCTTACGGAATGAAATTGAGTTAGAGAATGGTGATGTTTCTCATATTCCGTTACCGCGCAGCTTAGGATTGAGTAGAAAGTGGAGAGGTCCTGTTCAGTACCCGGTTACTCCAGTCAAAAAAGCAGAAAGTTCACAGGACGACAGTTCGACATACGTAACAACTTCGGACGAAGAGCAAATTTTTATATGAGTGGCTAGTCACTACTTCTTTAGGTTTTAAGTTGCTAAAAACTGACATGCGCACTGGATTGCAGCAAAGTCTTCCTTAACAAGGGAATAGTTAGTGTAATATACTCAATAATCACTCAAATTAGGGAGTCGCCTGTGATTCGAATTGTGTAAAGCTTATCGTGCAAATTTAGTGCACAAAGGAGTAAACAACAGCAACAACATAGACCTACATGCAATGTTTTGATTATGTTTACTATACTTTAGTGAAATTACATCCCCTTCAATTAATGGTAGCTATTTTTATTTTTTTAACGTAGAAGATTGGATGGATCAGTTGTCTTAGTGGAAATCGGCATTGTTTTAAAGTTTAAACAATGGAATCAGTTGTTCTGTACATTTTGGGCTATAATCCGTTATTCCTCAACAAAACTCCAATTACAAGAGTTAACACTTTTTTTATTATACCTGAATCACAATCTCCGTTTTAAACACTCAAATGCGTGCGAAAAAAGGCCTTTAAAACATACGTGCTTTAAAGTTGCTAAGTAACGATACTTCAAGTATGACTTTTGAAATTGTCATCTGGATGAAATAAAAAATCTTCCTAAGTCGCTTTCTGTAAATGCAGAACATTTCTTTGGCTTGCACCTATCCTTTGGTTGAAGCTTTTACAAACGCGCGTAATTTAGGGCATGCTTCCAAATCTGTTCCACTTTTTAGTCCCAGCAATAAGTGAAGTTTTGAATGAATGCACCAAAAGATAGAAGATTTAAATACCTTTGACATTTCCTTCATTTATGCCAGCATTATTGATGCATTTAATTGACTTTATTCGTAAGTAACTTCCTATTCATCCAAGGAAACAACTTTTCATATGCTTGATAATAGGCTTTACTGGATTGAGATTTTACACCTACCAACGTTTGTTTAGATTTTACAACAATCGATTTAATGGACGGTGTATTATCTTTTTCAACGGAAATCGTTTAATTCACAAAGACGACAATTTTTATAAGCAAACGTCAAGTGACATTTCCATGGCAATCGTGAAATTACGAACACCCAGCCCACTTAATTAAACATGTATTCGAGTATAACGTCAATATGATTTCATTGTATTTCCTATTTTTAAATTATACTGCAGGTATAATAAAAAATACTATAAGATACACGTGTATAAATGGTCTTTAAAGCACTTGCAACGTTAAAGGCACTCCGCTTTGCGTCGTGCCCTTAAACTCGTTGCGCGTGCTTTAAAGACTTGATTATACACTTGTATCTTAATATACTATTAATACCTAGTCACATTGTAATCGTTTTGTTAATCATTGGCGACTTAATACCGATCAATAAGATTATTCTTTATCTTAGACCAGGGGATTTCTTTTAGAACCGGGTGAACTGTGATGATTTGTCACTTTGATTCTATGCGGTTGAATCCAACCTGAGTTTAACGGTTATGCCTGGCCTATTCCTACCATTTTAGGTAAGATCGCCGACGAAAGTAATGATAATCGGAAGCTTACTGCTACTGCAACCAACCAACCCAACACTATCTAAAATGGCAACGTTGAAGCGTAAGTTTTCCGGCGGGGATTCGTGTGGGATGGGCCGCACGGCGTCGCGCATTGTCGTGTTTGCTTTTGCGTTTCTTCGTCGCTGCCTTGATATAAACGTTACAGTAGGTATAATTACAAGAATTGGATTTTGCGTATTAGGCCAGTAAATGAAAGTGGAATACGGCGATACTGTGTAATTTTCCGCGTGGTCACCGAATCGCATGAAAATTTGGATTAGTTTCTACTTACCCTCCACTTCAAAGTTGAACTTGAGCCCCGGGGTTGCTTTTTATTTCTTAGAGGAAGGAAATTTTTCAAAATTTCAAAAAGCTACATTTTTTCAAAAAAGCACTTTGAACCGGTCAAACTTACAGATCGTATAAACAATACATAAATAAAGTAAACTGTAAAGCGGTAACGCTTAATTACAATTTTGAGCGTAACTCACTTAGTTTTGATGCTAGGAACTTTTCTTAAAAACAAAAAGAAAGGTTTTTTCAAACACTTTAAAAAGGTATTCATAAGTTTTCCCCGAAAAGTGCTCCATTTTTTGGTTATTTCACGTTGAAGTACACGATTTGGAATTTGACGAATGAGAACCTACTTTTCATGAGCTACAACTTTGCTTGTACTGAGTCTACAGACTTCATATACAGGGTGGTGACTTGCGTCACGTATCATAGGGATTTCAATGTAAAATTCATAACATGCCATTATTGGCTCCCCAAATTCCTTTAGAGCAAAAATGTATTAAGGTTTTTTTGTAGAAAAAAATTTTTTACGTCAATCAACCGTATTAGTTTTCAATTTTTTGCATAATAAAGAGGGAAAATTGGAAAAATAAGACCCCATCTTTTTCAATAATCTGTGATGCCATGGAATTTTATAATTCAAAAACTACGCCAATATCCGTCATGCCATGGAATGTCTGCTATAAAACAAATCAAATTCTATCAAAAAGTATTATATTTAGAACAGCGAATTCAACATAAAGAAATACCAAATTACTAAAAACGGTTTCCTAATATAACAATTTACAATAAATGTTCGAATAAGTCACCATTAACTGCAAGACAGTAACCAAGTCGATCATAAAATCCATTTCGAACTGCTGCTAATTGATAATTCGATATCTTTTTGTTTTAGAAAATTCCATGGCATCGCAGATTATTGATTATTGAATGCGGGTATTATTTTCCAATTTTCCGTCGTATATGAAAAATATTGATCGGCGTAAAAAAATGTTTCTACAAAAAACTTTAATACATTTTTGCTCCAAAATAATTTGGGGAGCCAATAATCGCATGTTATGAATTTTACATTGAAATCCCTATGATGCGTTACGCAAGTCACCACCCTGTATAGACCATTTTGTTTGTTTTATTATAAGCTATATTTTTGCTAAGAATACTTTTTTCGATACAATACCTACTTAGAGTTATTTGCAAAAAACCGTCTGAAAACGTGGTTTTTTGTTGAAAAATGAACATTTTCACTCGCAAATAACTCGAATACTTTTGTCTTACTGGAAAAACTCAACAAAAGTTGCTTCTCCCCCCCCCTCCCGAGAAGGGGTCGCATTCACCCCCCAAGTAAAAGCAACACCTTTGAAGTAGAGGGTAAGAGGAACCTAAATCCAAATTTTCAAGCAAATCCGTCGAGGCGCGTTAAAAATTACACGCCAAAACGGTAATTTACTGGCGTATATTGGTTTTCCCAATTGTTGCAATATACCTACCTACTACTCCCGTTAAATCAAGACAGTCCCGAAGACAAAGAAACTGCTAAGAAGGAACAAGGCGCGACACGTAGAGTAAAAAGAAAAGGATTCATTGACACTCATTTTTTTTTTTCACTTTCGGTTTGACTGAAAACCTAACTTTCCCAGAATCTAATGCATTAAATCCGGTTTTCTCAATTTTTGTAATTACACCTACTGTAGCGTTTATATCAAGGCAGTGACGAAGAAACGCCGAAGCAAAGACGACAATGCGGCCGCGCCGTCACGAATTCCCGCCGGAAAAGTTACACTTCAACGGTGCCATTTTCGATAGTGTAAAGTTGGTTGCCTAAGTGACAGTAAGCTTCCGATTGTCTTTACTTTCGTCAGTGATCGTACCTATTGAATTTTTATTTAGCCATTGCTGTTCAACATCAAGCTGTTTTCGACCGCGCAAGTTTTACTAGCTTTGTTTTTGTCTTCATTGTAATAAAGCGCAACAAACCTGAAATACTTAATTGCATTAGGTACTCAATGATTGTACAATATAAGTAAATTGTTAGATTAAAACACTTATAATCGCTGGAAAACAAACGCCAAAAACCACACAAAAATCTATAATCAGCCGAAATCGCTCACATAAGGCCTGTTTCCCGAGTGAGATGCATTTTTTTGGAAATGTTAATATGTAAACCAACACATTGTAAATGAGTTGCCTAAAAAAAATTCAGGCAATTAGGAAATTAATACTTCTGTCTGCCTCTATCACATGGAGAGAGCGCATGCGCCCTCTCACCAGCAGATCTTACGCTGCGTCCTTCTTTTTCACGGAACAATACCCATGTTTCTCTCTCGCGCGCTACTTAAAATTGCGACAACGGTGCTGGCGGTATACGCATGCGCTCTCTCCATGTGATAGAGGCAGACATAAGTATTAATTACATTAATTTTAATTAAGAGTAGTCTTGACTTAATTTACAATGTGTTTTTTACATAATAAGATTGCTAAAAAACTTATTTTACTGAGTAAGCAGTTTTTTGTACGTCTAATTGTTGTGACGTCATGAAGCAAGCATTTATCAAGAAGCCCGTTTATCACTCAGTTTGACAAGCGAAAATTAATTTAAAGAATACTTCATAAATCTTTCACGATGGCATTACGAAAAATGTATAATACACTAAAAGCATTTTCTCCATCCATGCTGCGTTATGGAACGTCTGCTGTGATTTTGCTGACGTACATTACCGACTTTAAAACTGTACTGCAATACCTGCCATACTACAACGGAAAATACAAGGAATAAGTTGGCAATGTCGAAATTGCATGGTTTTTCAGTGTATATAAATACAGCTACATAGGTAATTTGAATGAACTTATTTATAATAATGTAAATATATAGAGATATTCACTGAAGGACCAATGATTGCAAATTGTAAAATAGATCATTTTAGAGCTTCCGTAGTGTAAATGTCAAGTGCCAATATCACTGTAATACATACATACCTACCTTGTTGGCTTTACTGCCCTGCATCATGGTAATATTAATGCGATCGATATGTGTTACATTACATCTGTTAAAAAAACGATTGTATCTACTATTAATACCATTTTAACATTACTATGATAGCGACAGGGCAGTTACTGTTCTGCTGTTTATTATCAGCAAATTAAGAACAATAGACCAAAACAAAGACAAATAAATTGATTACTCAAGTGTGCCAGCTAATATAATTAGATAGCTAGTATTTCTTTGGTTATTTCTCAATTGTGTAATAAGCGCGTATGGCCTTAATATACTAGTGAATGTGCATAAGCATTGTTTATTACGCCTTGTCTATGTAACATTTGTAACGAACAATATTAGTTTTCAGCGTGATTGTCGGGCCAAAGAAAAACGTGCCTAAATATTCTGAGAGTCTGATCAGTTTTAAAACTGTAATAAAGAATGTCAAATTAATTTTAAATTAATTGTAAATTAGCCATTTATATACTCATTATTAGAAATTAGTATTGTATTAGTAACTGTGTTAATTATCATGTAATAAATTTGTTGTTTTGTACGATTCTGTATAATTATTTATACCGTGCTTATTGTATTGTTCCTCTCCTTTCCATCTGCGATTTGGACATCAATATTAGTAAGTATAAGCAGGGGCGGACTGGCACGGGGGGGGGCGGGTGGCGATTGCCACCTGGCCTGTAGATCATAATGGCCCGTTGGAAATTTAT